ATAAATATTTTTTGCTAGTTTAATATATTTTCATTTACAAATTTTAATATTAAAAATACAAAATACAAATATTGATCTATCATTAATTCGTGAAATTTCCGGTGTCCGTGAATTAATTAATTTCGCAAATCCGTAACGGTAATTATTATGGATTTGCGTCCGCGGTCGCTCAACCTTCATACTCTAATCAAAAACTTTTATTCACAAATAATAATAAAATTTAATATATTATAAGCATACCTTGCATCTTACATGATTTTTCTTGTAATACTAGATTTTATTGGTTAGCGTGAATGATTTTAAACCAATTAAGAAAGAATTGTCATTAGCTGTGTAGCTATTACCCATGCGCCTCTTTGAAAGATTGGCGCTTTTGGCGGAGATTTACAAAATATAAGCCAAATTTATCCAGAAATTAAAGCATGTGATATCAGAAGTTTGAAACAAACGTGTCAATAAACTGTTCGACATCATATAAAGATCAGTTTTTTAATTTTTTTTTTTTTTTTTCCCTTATCTCGATTATTATTCAAAGAAATTCCTTTTATTTAAAACTCTTATTTTAATAGTCAAATTAAAATGAATCAAAATAATAAAAAGAAGAAAGAAAAGAAAAAAGGTGACAAAAAAAATCAAGCTGCTCAGCAAGAAAGAGCCCCAGTTGGAAATAATCGAGCTTCTCCAGCTGGACCTAATAATGATACCTCCGAGCCAATTGTCCCTGAGCAAGTTGTCCCTGAACCAGTAGTCCCTGAGCAAATTGTCCCTGAACCAATTGTTCCTGAGCCAATTTCCTCTGAACAAGAACCGCCAAAGAATGAAAAGGTTTGTTATTCAGCATTAGGTAGCTTGGTTTTGTTGGAATTGATTGTATTAAGAATATAATCGTATGAACTTAAAAATGATATTATTTCGATAAATTTTTTTTGTAGAAGTCCGATAGAGCGAGAACGAAGACAAAAAAAGTAAGTTTATTTACTTGTAAATGATTAATTGTGATAATTGAATTTGAATTTCTTTAAATATTAATTTTAACACGCTTTCACAGAAGAAACAGCCAAAAAAAGCTAGTTTTTTCGGCAGTTTATTTACAGTTAAAAGGCTTTTTATCTATTATATTCTCGCTGTATTTTTCTGGTGTAATGGCAAAACTCGTGAGCAATGCAATTCATATGAGGAATTATTATGTTTTAACGGGATGTCACAGTATATTTTAAATCATGATTTTTTTAACAAATTTATCGTACCAAAAATCATTCTGATTCAACAAAATGTTGAGATCTATGGCAAACATACTTTGGATACCGCTACTGTTAATTATGAAACCCATGCTAAACCTTACGTCAACCCTGTCCTCGAGTCAGCACATCCTCATTTACAATTTGCGAGAGAATTATCTGTCGAATATGTGTATGTTCCTGTTGTAAAAGGATTAGCTAAAACACGCGAGTTTTATAATCAAAACGTTAAAGATCATGTGAACAAATTTTATCATCAAGGGGTAAAATTTGGTGCTCCATATGTCAGTCAAGTTCAAGATCATACATCCTATGTTTATGAACAAGCTTTGAAGTACAACGAAAATAATGTTCAACCTTTTTACAATAAAAAGATCCTTCCTTTCGTGATTGATGCTAAAGACAGACTTCTTGTATTTTATGACAACAAAGTTGTACCCTTTACTTATCATACATTGGAGGTTATTGAAGAATTTTATCACGAAAAAATGGTTCCTTTATATCATACTTATATCTCACCTTATACCTCATCAATTTTGAAGTTGATCCAAAGTGAAGATAAATCCAAGGTTGTAACTGAGAAGGAATCCAAAGAAGCTGCTAATAAAAAAGCAAAAATTGAAGTTGAAAGGAAAGCTAAAGAAGAAGCTGATAAAAGAGCAACGGTTGAAGCCGAAAAGAAAGCTAAAGAAGAAGCTGATAAAAAAGCAAAGGTTGAAGCCGAAAAGAAAGCTAAAGAAGAAGCTGATAAAAAAGCAAAGGTTGAAGCCGAAAAGAAAGCTAAAGAAGAAGCTGATAAAAAAGCAAAGGTTGAAGCCGAAAGGAAAGTTAAAGAAGAAGCTGATAAAAAAGCAAATGCTGAAGCAGAAAGGAAAGCAAAAGAAGAAGCCGATAAAAAAGCAAAGATTGAATCAGAAAGGAAAGAAGCAGCCGACAAGAAGGCTCAAGCGGAAGCAGCCGAGAAAACAACCATCGAAGCTGTTCGCGATGCATTTTATAGAGAATATGATATTGCTGAGAAAAATCTTACTCAGACTCTTGATAATTACGAAAAAGAGGCTACTTCCGTCTCACGAGAACTTCTGAAGGAGGTTGAAGATAGAATCTTGACTTTAAATAAAACTGGATCTGAACGTCTTGTCGAACTTAAAATATTCGCAGAAGAAATTAAGCAGGAAAATACAGATGATGGTAAAACTAGCAAGTTTAAGGAAATGAGGGAATTAGCAAAAAAATCAATAAAGATGATTAAAGAAAGCGGTAATGAATTTATCGATATATCAAAAAATTCGATTAATGATTTGGAAGAAATAAAATTTAATGCTTTGAAAAAAGATGCAGATTTAAAGATGATTTCTAGGGTTTTTCATAGCAGAGAGCATATTAACGAACTGGCTCGTGAAATACAAGCAGATGAAAGTTTTATTACTGATATCAATATAGCATTTAATAGTCTTATGACGGAGTTTAATGAAAATAAGAATGAAGCCTCATTAAGAGTTCGGGAAATTTTTGGTAAAATTCATAATAAGATAAATCTATTGAAGATTACAAAGGATGCTTTTATTAAAAACATTAAAGATTTCGTTAAAATGGAAAAAGAAAATATAAATAATGATGCTAACGAAGTAACAGCCAAAACGGAAGAAAAGGATAATAAAAAAGGTTCAGATGTAGAATCAGAATCCAAGATAACCGTTCAAAATGTCAATAAGAACGATGATCAGATACCGGTTCAAGTAGAGGAAAAGCCTTCAGTTGAAGAAAAGTCTTCAAATATTCCTCCGATTACAATTCAGACATCGAGCGATCCCATTTTAGAAAAACTCAAGGCTCGACGGGATCCAGTGTTATTTAAATTAAAAGAGGAATATAAATTGAAACAAACGAATAAAGGTAATGAACCAGTTCAATCTTTAGGTAATGAAGAAGATGATGAGGATTATGATGAAGAAGATTATGAAGATGAAGCTGGTGATAATGAATACTCATCGGATAAATAAATATTTAGATAGATAGAAAATATATATATATACAAAAAAAAAAAATAACAGCAGGTCCGTTGTTTTGAGTGTTTGAATCGAATATATATACACACATTACCTTGTTGGTTTAGTTTACTTTTTATTAATAAATTACTGTACTTTTAGCTTTAGTGCTGTAAATATTTAATTGTTATTCGAATCTTCGAATGTACTGATTTTAGAGAAATAAAGCTGAAATGGTTCAAATTTTCTGAATGATTTTTTTATTTTGTGGCTTTTTTTCTTCTAAATAACGTAAATTTAGAAGCCGAAAATATATATGACGGAGGATCCGGAGTTTCCTGAAAATTCCGAAACGCTAAATTCCCGTGATGATAATTTGACATGTATTATGTAATAAATGTACAGTAATATTTGTAATGAAGATCAGATGTGTGTGAAATTTCTAAATATGAATAAAAAAACTACACGTGCGTGATTTAGAAATCTGGGTTTTTTTTAAAAAAAAACGGTCATACGTTTGACATATTTCTCACGGAATTTGTCGGATGAGAATACATGGTCCATTCGCGAAGTGAAGATAACTTCAAACAAAGCTGCAGTTCGGCGTAACTCGGATGGTTCTTTAAAAAGTGTACAGAAAACTTAAAAAACTTGTGAATAAGAGTTCGTCGTTTATAAAAGGGTCAAAAAGTTTATTCGAACATCGAATTATTTTCTCAAAACTAAAAATAAAAAATAAACATGATACCTATAATACATATTATATCGAGTCGTAAGTGAACTTTTCTTATACCAATTTTTGATTTGATAATTAATTTTATGATAATTTTATAAATAGGTAGTCGAACTTTCATACTATCACGGATATATTATAATAATGCTCGTAGAAGTTTTCACCGAGACACTACTAATAATCAACCACCATCCGGTTTATTAACCTTGCCTACGACCGAATCGATATCGAATTCTACTAATTCACTTCCTATAAAATCATTGATCCGATCATCAATTATCAAAAGATATGTTGCTTCGCTAGGGAAAACACAAGGTAAAGAGAATTATTGTAATTGTCGATATTGTCGATCATTAATTATATTAATTATCGGTTTCACCGATTTCCTTTTTCGAATAGGGAGATTGGTTATACTTGGTAGGTTAAAAGATCTTTAATCGTACATGTTGTTTTAACTTCCCCATTAATTATTTATAAACAGTTTTTTGATTTAAATATGGATAGGATCCGGGTGGGCAGGCAAGTTTAAAATGTTAATTGTCCGCATGTCATTGGTTCGAAAAGGGAAATTTCAATCAATAAATTATTCTGTTATTTATAGGGTATAAATTGATCCAAGATCTAGATACTGAACATTTCGAAACTATTGTTGTGTCTCCAAGGTACTTTAATATTTAAACTAAGGTTGCATTTATTATGTATAGTTCTTAATGATTTTATTAACTTTATCTTACAATTTTTTATTTTGCATGTTTTAACTAGGAACTATTTCGTCTTGTAAGTTTATTATTATTATTATTATCATTATTCCAGGTATATAGTATCCTCATTCAAAATCTTATTCCCTTTGTATATATAGCACCCCATTACTTGCATCATCATCTGTGGGCACTTTAGAGTTCAGGTGTATAATGGAACCTATTAGGAAATATTCTCCTAAAATCCAATATTACCAGGCTTATGCGGATACCATAGGTAAGTCAATCCGTTTCATAATAAACTATTTCCTATCGGATTACTTTTAATTAATCCTCCAGTTTCTTAATTCTAGACCTTAAGGAAAAAATAATTCATTGTACTTCTAACCTTGAACGCAATAAAGACAAGTTCTCTATTAATTATGACACTTTGGTTATAGCTGTCGGTGCAAATTCTAATACCTTTGGTATTAAAGGAGTTGGAGAAAATGCATTATTCTTAAAGGATGTTTCTGATGCTCGCAGAATACGTCAAAGAGTGATTGAATGTTTTGAACATGCAAGTCAACCAAATGTCACAGATCAAGAAGCGCTTGGATTGCTGCACTTTGCTGTCGTTGGTGGAGGTCCAACTGTAAGTATTTGTTAAGTTTAGATGATTGAAGTTATTCATGAAATATTTGACAAATGTATTAAATTAACCTTAACATTAAAGGGTATTGAATTCAGCGCTGAACTGTAAGTATGTTCGAGATATATATATATATATTTTTTAACATTAATAAAAATTTAAATATATCATGCTTACGTTTTTTGTATAAAAAGCCACGATTTTATTACAGAAGACATGGCTCATTTATATCCGGATTTGATGAATTCAGTCACAATGACTATATATGATGTAGCACCTCAGATTCTTGGTTCCTTTGATAAATCTCTCAGAGAATTTGCTACTAAAAAGTTTACAAGAAAAGGAATCAAGATCAGAACAGGACGTAGAGTCCAAGAAGTAAATGAACGTGTAATCGTCATTGAAGGAGATGGAGAAATACCCTACGGCATGTTAGTTTGGGCAACTGGTATGTTTTTGGCTAATCATGTAATAGTTTTTAAAATTTGGAATGAAGTTAAATCAATTTAATTAATCGGTGGGTAGGATTAACTGATAATCCACTAACACGATCTATGGGCGATCAAGTTATGAAAGATCAGTCAGCAAAAAGGTAATCTTTTTAAATCATTTTAATCTTTTTGTATCTAAATTTCATATTCAAATCGAATGACAATGAAACCATTTAATTTTATAATTGATAGACTCTTGACCGATAATCTCCTAAGAGTTTTAAATAAGGAAACAGGTCAACCTATAGATAATGTGTAAGTTGAGAAATAAAATATTCTTGAGATTGATCTCTTATGTTATTAATGGTATCATATTTTTAACGCGTATCTCTTTTAAGTTACGCTTTAGGTGATTGCGCGACAATCAAAGATAATGATCTCCCTACTACAGCTCAAGTTGCTAATCAAAAGGCCGTATATTTGAGAAAATGTATGATAGTGTTTTATACTCTTTACACTTTTTGACATTTACAATTATATATTAATCAAGTTTAACATCAAATTTCTTATAGCTCTGTCAAAAATCGCTAATAGTGGTTTAATGATAGATATAAAACCTTTTAAATTCTTTAATCTCGGGAGTATGGCATATATTGGAAAGAAAGAAGGTAAATGATATATTAATATGAATGAAAATTCTTCAATTTTCTTGGTATTAATTCTCACAATTTGTTTAATTAGCTGTCGTTGATATGACACCTGTAAGTAATAAGGCTAAGGAAAGTGGCACATTAGCATGGATATTTTGGAGATCTGCATACTTTACCATGACGGTATCGTTGCGAAATAAGATGTTAATGTGAGTATTATAATAATGATAACGATAGTAATTTTAGAATTTTAAAAAAATTAATTTTATTTTTTAACATTATTTTTTTCATAGCCCGATGTATTGGCTATTAACATGGATGTTTGGAAGGGATATTAGTAGATTTTAATATGAATATGTGTGTTTAATTTATATAGGTAATATGAACTTTTGAATATGTATACTATTTTATTTGTCTAAATATTTATTCGAGTTTTTAATCTTTATACCAAAAAAAAAAATCAACATAATCTATAAAACAAAAAAAAATTAAAAAAAAAATAAAATAATTTCTGTCAATCTAAATATAATATAAACAAATATATAAAATTAATAGTTATGATTTATACTATGATCATTGTATAAATAAATATTATTGATTTATTTTTTATTTGTATTGTAATATCATTAAATGTATTAACTAATTAAGAACCGAGGAAATAAATATTAATTATATTAATTACAATGATACGTTGATAAATTGTAGAATCATTAAGGTTGCGACAGAAATGATGGAAATGGAAATTTTGGAAGCGGAGGAAGTGGATGATTTGTTATTGTTATTTTCTTTCTTGGAGGTTTGGGAATCGGAGGAATTAGTGGAACCATATGAACCATCCTTTTTGTTGTCCATATTAGCATCCTTTTCATTCTTTACTTTTTTTACGGTGGCCGGATTAGGAGCACCACCAGGATTAGCAATTACGTTATTAAGTTTGATGCGCCTATCTTTTGTCATAGTTTTGCCATTTTCAAGATATGACATTTGTAAAGTAAAGTGGCCGGATTTAAAATCAAATTCGGCTGGCAACTTATTTGCAACTGTCCAAGTATAAACAGCGAAAGGAACTCCTTCCTGGGGGGCTTTGATTGCTACTTTACTGGCAATATCAGTCAATTTAATATTATTGTACTCATCGAACAACGTTAAAGAAACCTCTGAAGGAGCTTTTGTTTTTGGATTTACAATAATATTTATAGGTAACCCTTCCCCGGCGGTGTAAGAGACATTCCATAATAAATAATAAAAGTCTAAAGAACCGGGTCCAGTATTTGGAGTTGTGGAATATGGAATAAATTTACCATCTTTTGGGGTCTTTCCCTTTGCAGCTTTTGCTGGAGCTTTTGCATTTTTTGGTTCTTTTACTGGTTGTTTTGCCTTATTTTTTGGGCCGCCGGCAGCTATAAAAATTTTTTAAAGAATTATTATTATATGATCTAAAAATCTTTCAATATTAATAAAAAAATATATTTACCTTCTTTTTGACTTTGAATACCAGTAACATTTAAAAGGACTAAGAAGAAAATTGTGAAGATTGTAAGGTTTGATTTCCTCATTTTTATTTTTTTAAAAAAAGGAAGGTAAAAGAATGTTAAGAAATGAATCGGGGGAGAAAGAAGAGGAAAAGAGGGAAAGAGAAACCACAAAGGGAGGAATTAAAGAGTGAAAAGGAAAAGTAATAAGTTAAAAATTGACAAATTACCATTCTCTCATTTTGAGAGATTGTATTTATATTATTAGTGGATAACATGATTTGACGTCCCATTTGTCGAATAGTTACATATAAAGAGATCCATGTGCATTCCCTGCATTTATTTATATTCCTTAATTGAGAAATCATTCGATTTAATCTCTTTATTCCTCGAATTGTTTGGTCACACATAATTAATGGAACGGGTAATTCTTTCCACTTGCCGCAGTTACATGTCACAAATAACGTTTTCATCATAACACGTTTTTATTAGTTAATAAAATTAAATCGAATAAAGGTTTTTACATTTTATTGGTCTAATTTTCTTTTACTTGGCCCTTTTGGCCTTCCCCTACCCCGTCCTCGAACATTTGTCCTTTTCTCCACTTCTTTCACTTTTGTATCTTGGATAACCTTTTTGTTGTCTCGTTCTTGTTCTCTGCCTTTTCCTTTGACACGAGATCCTTTCTTATCTTCTTTAACAACATCATCAATTTCCTGTATCATGTCTTCAGAATCAGAAGAATTAAACGAACTACCCAAATATGAAGACTCATCGGTGATTATATTACCAACAGATCCAATGCTACTTATTTCATCACTATCGTAAACTCCTTCAGCTCCATCATCACTTGTTTCACTATTGCTTAATTCTCTTGTTCTTGTATAATCCAATGTATTATTATCAATTGAACTAACTTTACCTTCTTCATTTGTTCCATAATCTAACAATGAACTTTGAGAAGAAAGCATATCATTCAATAATTGTGATGGTGTATCATTATCTAATTCATAATTATGTTGGGGTGGTAATTTCGGTGTTGATGAAGTTGAAGCACCTATTCCCAAGTTTTTCATTAATCGTGTTTTATTATTATCATCTAGCAAACTATCTAAATCCGGAACTTTTTGCTCTGTCTGAGTTATCGTAACTGTAAATGGATATTTTTTCTTTAATGAGACAAGTAACATTAATAAATAATTTTTCTACTTGGAATTACGTATATATTTTATAATTGAATACAGTTTACCTGCATTAATGTTAAAATATCTCCATCGAATATTTCAATTTTGTTATTTTTTCGAATTGTCTTATTCCCTTTCATCATTGCATTGGACCCGAGCTATAAGTGTGTAAAAGAAATTTTTTTTTATATGCACATAAAATAATACAAAAAATATACTTCGATTGTTAAATTACCGCGGTAACATAAACTTTTCCATCCCTTACTTCAAATAAAGCTTGTTTGTTTTAAAAAAAAAAATAAAAAAGGGAAACGATTATATATTAATGCGTAGAATGTTAATAACGTAAATACATTGTATACCTTGCTTTCTACTTAAGGTAGCATTTTCAATGAAACCCGAGGCCCTTCCAAGTTCTAACGTGTCAGGTTCTGTAAACCCAAATGTTTTATCAATTGGTTCTAAAAAATGTAAAACTACATGAACTGGCATGGTTGATTCAACAAACCTTTTCAATTAATTTTTGACAAATATTTATAATCATGGGATCTCCTCAAAAAAAAACCAACTGATTTACCCGTGTCTAGGATAACCTAGGGTTGTGGGTGAGGTTGGACCGATCAATGACGATCTTATAGACTGATTTTAGACCGATCTTTTAGACCGGTCTTATGACCCGATCTTAATAGCATTACAAAAAAAAAAAGTATCAAAAGCCGAATTTATTGAATTTATTGATTACCCAAAATAAAATGTTTATTTTTATTATTATATTAATGTTAAGAATAGAATAAATTTTTATTCTTTTTCACACGTCTTTCCTAAATCATTAGAAACCCAATATTTCATACAAATAGTCGCTCTTGCTGTTTCCGGATCTAGCCTATTTCTAGTTTTGGTTATTGCTAAACCTGAAATAGAAAAGGCTCGTTCAGATGCAACTGATGTTGCTTGAATGGATAAATAATCCTTAGCCATATAAGAGAGTATCGGATAGTCTTTGCTATGAAGTTTCCACCATGTTAAAGGATCCGTATGACTATCACATGGAGAATTAAAATATCGGTTTAAAATAAGCCTATTCTAAATCTCGCGTTCCCAACTAATTGCAATTTTAAAAATGTCAAAAAGCCACTATACTCCTGGAAATCTTGTTGCCGTAAGTAACCTTGTTCCAGAACTTCATTATGGTCCTTTTTTGCGAGATTGGTGGTACTTTTCTGACTTCGAATCTGAAAATTCTAGTATATATCCTATTCCGTTAAGACTTGGCTTTCAAGTTTCTTTAAACTCAATCAAAAATATTTTACCATTAAAATAATTCGCAACTTACAAAATCCAAATGTACCAGGATTTATTTGTGAAGGAGAGGGAGTTAATAGTGGAGTTCTATCTAGTTCTTCCAATGCTATAAACACCGAGCATTTGGTTAAAGTAAAACAAAATACCCAGGAGCAACATTATTAGGTTTTCATGGTTCTTTTTTTTTTTTTTTTTTTTATTGATGTGGCTCTGCCAACTATTTTATTAAGATTTATAGATTTTTCCGAAGAAAATAAAAGAAATTACAAGTGATGAAAAAAAAACAAAACAAAATAAAAACTATCTAATAATCTAGACTAAATGTTAGCTACCTCCCGATAATAGAATATGTAAACATACCTATCCGTCTAGGTCGACCTATCATCATCAATTCCCTCCTTTAGACCCAAAGAGACTAGCCCAATGACTACTAAAATCATCAAGAAAAGAAAAAGAACATGTCAGAACCAATTTAAAAATCCGACCATTTATATCCAAATGTAAGGGCAAGTTGAATCCATAGTTCCCAAGTATTAGTTGTAGCTATGCTGTTATCGTAAGACAAATATTTGCATTTCTTCTTCATGTTTTTCATGTCAGAAGTGATATTTTTTGATAATTCTTTGGCAATCATAAGAGAGCAGCGATATGACCAAATTTTATTGAAAAGTCGCTTATAAAGAGTAACAATTGCTTTCGTGAGAATCCTATTTGTTTTTTTAGATGATCGAATCAGACTCGTAAGATCATCAAATAATGAAGAAGGTAATTTTCCTTGAATAATAGGTAAAAAGGAGCTTATTCTGTCTGTTGGATGAGCAAAATGTTTATTTAGGAGTAAATCCAAGGATGATGAGATTGAAGTAAAAAGAGAAGGAGAACAGCATTTTGAAGTCTAATTAATAATCTTAGACTTAATGTCAGAGATAATAAATAATATTGATTTTTGATGAATAAGCATCACATGACCATAAATGATCAGCTATTTCAGTAGTTAAATTACATCCAACGCAGTTCTAATTTTTATATAGATCTGGTCTAAGTTTTTCTAACCGAGATAATGTAGGCAATTCTCCCAAGAATATCTTCATTATGAAAGAATAAAGCTTTCGTTGTTGAAAGGAAGTTGAATATGTAGCCTGATCTAACATAAAAATAGACCAAATTGTCGTCCAATGAACTTTTGACTGTCTTGTCAAGGATTTGAGATCATCATTTCTATGTAAGTCAATGATATTTGAGATTGCAGTAGCGGCAAATATATTTTTTGTAAAGTGTCTTACTGATGATTCAATAATAATGTCATTAAATTGAAATAAACACGTGATAGAAGGGACGTTGAGATAGTTGATAGAAATTTCTGGTGATTATGTTCCTGATTTGGCTAGATCATCAGCAATATTATTATATATATCACCACTGTATTCTTTAACCTTAATAAGTGTAATACTGAGGTTCGATTGAGCCACAATAAATTTGATAGTCTTTCAGAGAATGTAATTAGACACTTTTTCAAATGTTCGAACAGAAAGATTATTATTAGAGATGTATGAGCTAAAGCCATGGATAGCAGCTATACTATTAGTGAATAAAGTGACTTTAGAATTTTTTGGAGAAACAATCAATGCAGTGAGAAGTGCAAAGACTGTACCTAAACCTGTCAATCTCCGTCCTGAATATTATATGAAACATGTTACTAACTATTGTTACACTAAAATCATTAGAATGATCTTCCTAATGTAGATCCTTAGAAAACTATGTTAACTTTGTTAACTTCGTTTACGTCGTCTAGCTCGTTTACA